CCTCCTTTAATCCACTGTGGTACCAATTTGTCATTGGATCCGCCATTCACACCACTGGTTTGTGCAACTCAAGATGGTGTCACAACGCACCCAGGTGAGAGGCGTTTTGTGAGTGGCGCATTTAACAAAAGGATCTACCTATCTACACACAAGGCTAAGTAAGGCACCATTTGGATGATAATACCAACACAAACAATAACTCTCCCTACACAAGTGTCATTATGAGCTTGGAGACGGTGCATCAGGAGTTTGAACAAATTGACACCAATCACTACGGCTTCATTACACGCGCCGACCTAGAGGCGTATGCACGAAGGACACATCAGAATGATGACTTTGTTGAAGTGAGTATAAGGATGGTTGCATTTTGTGTACTTTGATGATGCTTCGCCATGTATGCTGTTTCAATTAGCCTTTTTCCCCTTAATTGAAATGAGGAGTTAATTTGGTCTCCTACTTAAATACTTTATAAGTAGAAAGCAGTAAAATTCGTCTTTTAGGTATAACCATGATCCTGAAGTAGGCCCATTCTTTCATTTTTTACACAACTTATTTCTGCTTTGCTGATTATTTGCCTCCTTCAAACGCAAAACACATGTAAATATGCGTCACTCGTCTGTGACACTTTTGCTCTTAAGATTTTTTACAATTTGATCCATACCACATGCTGAACGCTACCTCCGAACCAGCTACTTGATCCTTCCTTAGAAATGGTTTCAATGGTTTGAAGGAGAACACAAAGGCATAATAACGATGGACGATGTCTGCACAACACTTGGAATTCCAATGCGAGAGGAGTACAGGTGAGTGCTCCCACCGGTCATCTAGACCGCGTAAAACATGAAGCGCAGCTACAAACCTAAATCTAATACGCTTGAAATTACCAATTCTCCCATCTCAAATGCCCAAAAGTACTCCTTTTGCGCTGCATTTCACTCTCTCTGACAGAATTGTGGGAAGTAAATTTCATTGCTAATTAACGGTAGGGTGTGCAATCAAAGGGAGGTAGGTGCTAGCAAAACTGCATTGTAATGGACTCAAGCCCACTCTACAACAGCTCAGATGAATGTTTTCTGTCAAATGTGTCATCTGTTGTTTGCTTCTGTGATGTTTTAGGCAAAAAGTAGATAAGAAAAGACAGATGATATCCCAAGGCCTAATTTCAGCGCCACCTGAAGCATCTCTAGTTTTTGCCGCGCCTCCTGTGTCTTCATCAACAACATCTGCGCAGAAGTCTTCAATGGAAGGAGTTGACGTGTTGCAGGGGAACACTGC